AGCACTCAGGAGGCATAGGCAGGCGGATTTCTGTGAGTTGGAGGCCAGCCAGGGCTGTGTATCAAAACCCTGCCTCAAAAAAACAAAACGTTAACAGAAAACAAACAAAGCAGAGGCCAGGGAGATGGCTTAGGCAGTAAAGTACTTGCTGAATAAACATGACCAGGGTGACCTGGTGAGGGGTTGGAGGCTGAGGGTCCCGTCCTGGATGTGGAAGATGTCTGTATTCAGAGCCTGGAGCGTAGTACACTGCATCTTAAATGCCATATGGGGAACTGGGAAGCTGAGTCCATGAAATACTGGCAGCAAAAGCAGGAGGACCTGAATCCCAATCCCAGAACCCACACAGAAATAAACAAATGAATAAAAAAGCCAGGTGTGGTGGTGGACACCTGTAGTTCCAGTGTTGGAGGACACAGCGATAGGTAGATCTCTGGGGCTCACTGGCCAGCCCGCCCAGTCTCCTCGGGTGAGCTCCAGGCTAGTTAGAGTCCCTGTGTCAGAAAACAAGGTTGAGGGTTCCTGAGGAATGACTTCTGCAGACACACATGTGCACACACACCCTTCTACAATCGGATATACACACAAAATACTATGTGTATTGTATGTCACTTGTTTCTCAATAAAAGTAGGGACAAGGTGATGCCTACTCTATGTGACCATTCGAGGAAACAAGGGCTGGCAACCCAGACCTTCCCCACCTAGGCACAGACATGGGTACTGGGTATCAGGAGGTAGAGAGTGCAGCAGTCCCTCCCTGTGCCCCGCTGTCCCTGTCTCTGCTGTGGACTTCCCAAGGGCTGTCCCACCATGCACACTGCTCTGTAAGGGCTCTGGGGGGTGCCTCTGAGGAGGTCTGCTGCTGCAGGGTGTGAGAGCCCTGCCTCTCATCTGGATGTCGAGCCTACAGCTCTGTTCTGGGGAGCGGGTGGTCCAGGTGGATGACATGACCCCGTTTGTGAGGCCTCAGCAATGACCAAGTGACTGGCATTTGGACCCCTCCTTATCTTTATCTCCTGTCCCGAGGTAAGAACCTAGGCAGGAGGGTGCTGGGTCTGGGTGAGCAGGGGAAGGTCAGTCACTGCTGAACAGTGGGGCCTCTGAAAACAGTGTGCTATTCTGTTACTTTCCTGAGCCCTTGAAGCATCACTATGAAAGTAATAATCAGGGGCTGGAGTGATGGTTCAGGGCCTGCAGGCGTGAAGACCTGAGTTCTTGGTGCATGCTTATGCCACAGTGCTGGGGAGGTAGAGACGGGAGGACCGCTGGAGCTCACCGGCTGACCAGTAATCTCTGAAACCCAGGTCTCAAAAAATAAGGTGGATGCCAGAGAAGCTTCTTCATACAGCAGATGGTGATTAACACAGAAACTCACAACTCATCAACATGCAGGGAACAAGAGGTTGCAGAGCGCTTCTCCCTGCATAGGACACCTGTATCAAACCTCTGCCTCCCAAGGCTCAGGCATCACTGTGGAAGACCGGGTAGAAACATTTTATGAGTCAGAGGTGGTGGATGACCACAAGGAAACAGAGTTTTTCAGACGCTGGTCAGTTACTCACATGAACTCACAGCAATGGTGACAGCATGCACAAGTCTCTGGTACAGAAGTGGTGAAGAAACCCCAGCTACACGTGAGGAACTACTGTCAACGGATGATTGCGGGGAGGGGGACAGTCAGTCTCTTTAAGGGGAGATTCTTTGTAGGTTAACCGGGTTCTGGTGGATAAACCCACACCAAAGGACATTTGGGGACACAAACCTGACTCTATAGTCCTTCACACACACACACACACACACACACACACACACACACACACACACGATGCAATCAAACTACTCAGCAGAGGTCAGGAAGTAGTAGTCCAAGCTGGTAGCAGTCAGCCTCAGTGCCCTAGGGGTGTGCACAGCTGAGGGTGTGGCAGTCAGTCCCTGTGGGCCTAGCTAGGAGCTGGGGGCTAGTGGCAGAGGTGCTGGGATTTGGGGCTGAAGAAATGGGTGGCCATCAGGGCTGACTGACGGTCCCCATGGCTGAGGCCAGCAGGGGCTGATGAGGACCCCAGCAGGAAGCCAGAGGTCCCAGGTTGTGTAGCTTCAGCCCTTTGGGAGACCGTTCTGTCTACAGCATAGACTGTCTGACAGGCCTGACAACTAACCCCAGAGACCTTCCACCACCCGGGATGGCTGGTCACACGGCCAGGGCACTGGGGCCAAGGAAGAATGAACATCTGTCTCCACCATTCCAGGAGTTGTTCTATCTGCCTTCTCTTCAGGCACCAGTGCACACTCACGGAGGCCCGAGGATGCTAGGTGTCCCGCTCTATCACTCTCCACCTTATTTCCTTGAGACAGGGTCTCTCACTGGCCTGAGAGCTGGGCTAGTGGCCAGCAAGTCCCAGCCATCCTCCTGTCTCTGTTCCCTGCTGTGCTAGGGTTGCAGGTGTGAGGGGCTATGTCCCGCTTTATGTGTGCTGAGGATTTGAACTTGGGGACTCATGTTTATGTAGTAAGTGTTCTTAACTATGGAGGCATTTTCTCCAGCCTCCTTATTTACTCTTATTAATGGAATCTGAAGAGGAGGAGCTGGATGACGGACATGGAGCTTCAGTGTGGCATGGATTCATAGCCTTGATTCTCACACATTTATGAATGCAGCTAAGAAAAGACCCGTGAGTACTGATCTGCAAAAACTCTGAGGAATGAGCTTTTAGGTCAGGCTTTTACGAGCCGGCAAATCTGAAGACACAGCTAATCAAGGTCTTAATTGGATTTATCTGCGGGAACTGTAGAGCCACGCAGCTCGGCTGTGGAGTTCCTGCCTGTACCTTCCAGAGGGTGCGTCTCTACAGCCCCATCACTTCATTCGATTTGTGTGATGTCACCAGACACCCAGCACCATCAGAACACACAGTACAGTACTGGCTGGAGATATGGCTTAGTGGTAGAATGAGTGCTTGGCTAGCATGCACAAAGCCCTGGGTTCTAGCCCAAGGTGGCATTAAAAAAAAATCAACCAAGTGTTGTATAAACCTGTAATCCCAGCACTTGGGAGGTAGAGGCAGGAAGATCAGGAGTTCAAATTTTCATCCTTGGCAACAAAATGAGTTTGAGGCTAGCTTGGGCTACATGAGACCCTGTCTCAGAAAAAATAAAAATCAACCGACCGACCAACCAACCAACCAACCAACCAAAAAACACAACAGGAGCTGAGGAGACGGCTCAGTGGATAAAGTGTTTACTGCTGAGCATGGGGACTGCAGTTCCAATATCTAGAGGCCACATAAAAGCCTGGCAGATGTGGTGGCCACCCCGGCACCAGAAGAGCAAGGTGGCTACCAAGACCAGCGGAAATTGGCAAGCTCTGGGTTCAGTGAGAAACTCTACCTCAATAAAGTAGAGGGCAATCAAGGGACATACACAAGGTCCAATTCCATGTATACACATCCATGTGCCCCTCCAAACATGCATAAACATCTGTATGCAGACCACACATATACAACAAAAGGGAAAAAATAAAACAACAAAAATAATGCACAGTATGTAGAAGGGGCATTGCAGAGCCCAGGTGGGCAGCAGAGGACCTGGTACAAGGAGGAACTCAGAGGATGGACGAGAAAAACGGGCCTGTGGCTCACTGTGGAGGTGCAGGCTTGTCACCCAACCCTCCAAGGGCTGAGGCAGGAGAATCATGAGTTCAAGACCTGCCTGGGAAACACAGAAAGACTCTGTCTTAAACAACAAAACAACAGCCAAGTATGGTGGTTCATCCCTGTAATCTCAGCACTTGAGACATTGAGGCAGGGGGATAGAGAGTTTGGGGCCAGGCTATACAATGAGACCCCAAACCCAAACAAACAAACACCCCAAGACAAAATACGAACCACTGCAATGAAAAAAAATATGGATGTTCTTGGTTGTTAACTTGACAACCTGGGAAGAGGGAACATCAACTGAGGAATTTTCTTCATTAGACTGGCCCATGGCTATGTCTGTGGTGCATTTTCTTGATTGCTAATTGATGTAGGAGGGTCCAGCTCACTGTGGTGGTGCCATCCCTAGGCAGGTGGGCCTGGGCTGTCTAAGAACGGTAACTGAGCAGGCCAGGGGAAACAAGCCAGTGAGCAGTGCTCCTCCATGGTCTCTGCTTCAGTTCCTGCCTCCAGGTTCCTGCCTTGAGCTCCTGCTGTGGCTTCCATCACAGTCCACTGAATCCATCACAGTCCTCAGTGATGGACTGGTGAAAGTGTAAGTCAAATAAGCCTTTTCTTCTTCAAATTGGTTTTGGTCAAGTGTTTTATCACAGCAACAGAAAGCAAGCTGGAACACCAACCAATAAATAAATAAATTAAATTAAACACACGGTGGGCTACAGTGAAAATCCCTCTGGTTTTTGGGCACAGGGAGGTGTCAGTGAAACCCTACGTCTGCAGGTTAGCACACATACATATCAGAGAGAGAGAGAGAGAGAGAGAGAGAGAGAGATATGCTGTATGACCACCTTAAATAGAAGCAGCAGGTAGACACAACATAAAGACAATTTCTGATAAGATCTCTGTATTAATTGCCAACTTGACAGGATCTAGAATCACCTAGGAGATACCTCTGGGCATGTCTGTGAAGGAATTTCTAGACTTGGTTAACTGAGGTGGGAAAATCCACCCTCATTGTGGGCAGCACCATCCCATGGGCTGGGGTCCTGGACCAAATACAAAGGAGAAAGTCAGCTGAGTACCAGCATCCATCTCTCTCTGCTTCCTGACTGTGGATGTCATGTGACCAGCTGCTTCACACTCCTGTGTCAAGCCTTCCCGCCATGATGAACTGCACCCTCAAACTATGAGCCAGAATCAAGCCTTCTTTCTTTAAATTGCTTTTGTCAGGGTATTTGTCATGCATTAGGAAAAGTAATCTAATCTCTAATCTCTATAAAGGTGACTAAGGCCAGGGTATAACTTCAGCCCTGTGAGTACCCCATCCCCACCCATCCCCAGCATGTCCACCTGGAGAGACAAAGAAGGTCCTCCATAGCTTCTTGTCTCGTGTGACGTCCCGGATCTCCTTGGTCATATTGACCATTCTACCAGCCACCGGAGGGACTCGACGGAAGTCCAGGATCCTGGTGAAAAAAGGATGGAGAAAGAAGTCTATTCTCCCTGGTTAATTCTCACTGTCCACAGAGGCCAGCTCATTTGCCATAGCTCTCCAGCCCTCTACCACACCAGGCTTTCAGGCCATGGCACAGCCTGGGCACATCAACACCAGGAAGGTGTGTACTCCAAAGGTCTGACGCCTCTGTGCCAGCCCTACCAGGCAACCTGATAACTAAACCATGCCTTCATTCAAGGGCTAAATTTAAAGGAAATTAAATTAAATTAACCACTTATAATAGGGTTCTTTCTGCATGCATTGCCACTTGCTTAATTAAAAGGAGATGCCTAATGCTAGCTTTTCTTGCTGACACAGGATGTGGAGATGAGTTGTCCTCGGTGGAGACATGACCAGGCAGGGAAGGATGGGTCACATTCCCATAGTGAGGGGTCTCAGGACCCCACAAGATGACTGTGGTCAGTATCCTTCCACCCTGAGCTTTGTGAGTCTATTTGTGTCTGTGTGCAGGAGCCGCCACTCTCCCTGTCACGGGAAGGCTGCTTTTCTGGGTCCAGGCTGCTTTTGGTGGTTTAGACTGTTAAAAGTTTAGCTTCTAGGGATTTCTAGATCCCACATAAGGTTTAGGATCTACATGAGTCTCCTGGGATCCAGTGAGATGGGAGGCTCTAGCTCGTGGGTCTGTGATGGAGCCTGGATTCTGCAGTCCAGCCAGGGCTGTACACAGGGCTGAACACTGAGCCCTGTCCCTGTGCTGTGACCTGGGCAGGGGTCCCTCTGCACCTCTTAGAGCTGACCCCAGGGTCAAGCCCACGAACAGCCCCTCAAGGGTGAGATGTGGGCTACCCCACTGCCCTTGGAGCTCAGGTAGGGCCAGGTGGAACCAAACCATGACATGATGTCAGGGCTGTCCCTCAGGAGACAGGTGACAGGGCCTCCCACCTATTGTCATCAGAACACCATTTCCTCAAAGGACGCCACTCCGTGCAACTGTTAAAATCTACAGTGCCCAGTGCTTGTTCCCCTCTCCTCCCTCTTTCCTACTCCCTTTATTCTCAGAGATGTGCCACCTGCCACCTGCCCCTGCTGCTCCCTGCCATCCGCAGAGGGGCAACACACACACAAATCACACGTTTTAAAGGCAGGTCAGCTTTGGTTAAGGGTTCGGGGCTCTGCAGATGGGTCTCTTGGGGACTTACTCTTTATGGTGTTGTTAGTTGGGGGAGCTGGGGAGATGGCTCAGCAGGAAATAGTACTTGCTATGTAAGCCTGAGGATGCTAGTTTGACCTCCAGCACTCAAGGGTGGGGATGCATGCTTGTTCCAAATCTAAGGAGGCAGAGACAGGTGGATCCCTAGGACCCTCTGGTCAGCCAGCTAAGAGTCTAGTCTATTTGGAAAGTTACAGGCTAGAAAGACTCTGTCTCTGGAAACATAGTGACAGTTCCCACCCCTTGGTCTGTGATAGTTTAGCATGGAGCAGCTACGGAGCTGTCAGTGATAACAGCTGCATGGTTCCCAAGCCCAGGCCGTGTCTCTGCGGGTGCACAACTATGGCTCCAAGTGCAGAGACAAGTCTGGAGTCGGGTGGCTCTCGGCAGCATGAAGCAGGGAAGACTCACCTGTCCAGGTGAAAGGCAGCAATCTCTGCATTATGCCTCTCATAGTCAGAGAAATAAAAAAAGTCCGGGGGTGTCTCCTGCTCCCTCGTTTGCCTGGAGAAAATAGAGTAGAGATAGAGTTAGGGTTAGGGAAGCTCTGGGTAAAAGGGACAAGCTGAGGTGCAAGTGCAGCTGGAACCAGAGCTGATGCACATTTCAGTTCAGTTGACAGGATGGCTCAGTGAGTAAGGGAGCTTGCCACCAAGTCTGATGGCCTGAGTTTGATCTCCAGGACCCACATGGTAGGAGAGAACTGGGTTGTTATGGACTTCCACACATGTGGTATGGCATGCATGCCCCCCTCCCCAAATAAGTAAATATACATTACCTTATAAAAGAAATTATAGGGGACTGGGAAGATGGCTTAATGAATCTGAGTCTGATCCTAGCACCTCCATAAAAAAGCTATGGTCATCACACTTGTAATTCCAGCACTGGGGAGGAAGGTGGGCTCACTGGGCAGCCTAGCCTACCTCGTGGGTTCCAGGCCAGTGAGAGACCCTGTCTCAAATTGAGATCGGCCTCTGGAGGCCAGATGTGCATTCACACACACAGAGATATACACACACCATGCACACATATATACACCATATATATACCATTCACATATACACATATGTACACATTCACATACAGACACACATACACATGCTCCACATACATATACACATATACACACGTCCACAAATATATACATACACACCACACACATACACACATCCACATATATGCAAACATCCACGCACGCATCCACATACAGATACATACATATACCACATACACTCCGGTACACACATACATACACACGATCACATACACATACATATAACCACAGATATAGACACACATAGCATGCATACACCCCACACATACACACCACACACACACACACACACACATAGACCATACACGTGCCACACATATACACAAACAGCACACATACACTCCTGAACCTAAATTATATCAATTTTCAGTGTGTCCCATTTTAAGGTATTAAGCACACAAGGCTCAATGCTAGGCTGTTTCCTATGTTTTTGTGCCCAGAACCTGCATGTACCAGGTGAGGTCATGCATCCTCACCAGCCCTCACTTAGAAGTCTCACCAGGGAGGGGCACATGTCTGGTGTGTTCGGTGCTTGGTACCTTGTCGTGGCCCTGGAGGGATGGAAGAAGTGAAGTGGGGTGGATCCTGCCTCCCCATGGGCACAGCCAGAGGCATCCAGAGCTGCCAGGATTTGATTATTCTACTTCTATCCCACTGCCTGGCCCTCCCATTCACAGCAGCTCTCAGCTTGAGCTTCCCAAGGATGGCTCAGCCCTGCCCTGGCCTGTCCTCCTGGAGAAAAGGGCTCAGAAGGCCCCAGAGGGTTAATCAGAGGCCAGCCAGGGCTGTCCAGGGACTGTGAGTGGGGCAGCACTACCAGGCACCTGGGGAGTGAGGAGACCCCCTCAGGAGGGAGTCTGTCAACCTAAGGAGGTTCCATCTCTGCTGGGGTCATTCTGAGCCCTCAGGACTTCTAGAGACCAGCAGAACAGAGAAGGGGGCTTGCTGGATGGATGGGTTAACTCCAGATCCCAGCAGGGCCCTTCTTCGGGCATGAGTTTCGAAGGCTCATTGATGCTGGCTAGGAGCTCCCATGTATCCATCGTGGGCCTTGGCCCTGTGCCTGACTCTGTTCATGTGTGCTATGTGTGCAACCCGGCTTGCCCACCCTCTCTGGGCCTGGACATCCAAGCCTCCTGCAGTGAGCGGTGCACAGTCCGGGGGGAGTGGCATTTGACCCTCCCTCTCAAAGACAGGAAGCCAGATGCTCTGAAAGGTCAGTGTCACTCCTTAGACATCAAAGGTCTTCAGGCTCATTGATCTGGAACTGTTAACTTTTGGTTGCCCAAAGTGAAGTCAGAAGGCAGGAATGTTTCTTGCTTGAAACCTGGGTCCTCCCAGTGTTCCTGTTTCCATCCCAGACCAGCCAGGTAGGAACTCAGCCCTAGGTGCAAAAGACTGGGGCCGGATCCTCCGGCATCGAAGTTCCCTTCCTTTCCAGGTATGCAAAGGAGGGCCTGCTTCTCCCTGGGCACGGTCAGGAAGTGTAGGCCTGGATGCTCCCACAGTGGAGTGGAAACACCCTTGGGGGACCAGAAATGTCAGCTTTGTGCCAGGAAGGATGGACCTAAGTTTCCGGGTCCCTCAAGCCCACAGCCCCACTTCCAGCTGAGGCTACTGCCCCACACAGGGTCCATCATAGTAGGGTCAAGGCATCTGGTGGTCAAGGGTGGTGTCCAGGCATGTCAATCATGGCTTGTTCCCTTAGAGCTATGGACAGCTGTTTCATGGTTTCCTGAATGCCACTTGGCCAAAGGTAATTTTCTCCTTGGCCTTCCAGAGGCAGCTGAGTGCATGAGGGATAGTTTGGACCCCATGATCTCATGAGTACCTTGACAGGATGGTGCCTAGGAATGGCCTTGGTCTCACAGGTATATGTGGAGACCAGAGATCAGTCTTGGATGTCACTCCTCAGGAGTCGTCTACCTGTTTGTTGGGATAGTCTCTCATTGGTCTAGAATATACAGGGTAAGGCAGGCTGACTGGCCAGCAAGCCCCAGGGATCTGCCTGTCTCTGCCTCCCTGTGCTGGGATTATAAGCAAGCATCACCACGTGCCTTTTGATTTACATGGTTGCAAGGATCAAAGTCAGGTCCTTGCATGGCAAGCATTTCCCTGATTGAGTTATGGCTTGGCATACTTGATATAAGAATTGACATCTACCACCTCTTTAGAGCGGCCCTCAGTGAACACTGAGCATAGGCCTCATAGAGCTGCACTGGGCTTCTGGGCCCAGGGAGGGGCTGAAGCAGGTTTAGGTCTGTGCAGGGCTGGGATGGGGTGCAGGTGGTTAAGTTGTAACCACCCACCTTAGGCACACATATGCAGGCACACATGTGCAATCACACACACAGAGCTCCATGTGTACTAGCACTGCATGTGTTATGGCATACACACACCCCTAAATACACATTGTGAGGGGACTGTGGACAGAAAGCATTAGGGCCAGCTCCTCTGATGTCTTCCAGGGCTGGTTGTGCAGAGGATCTGGGGCAGATCATCAGTATCCCGCTGTGAAAAGGCAGCCTGACCTCCTCCCATCCACTTATATACCCTCGAAGCCCAGGCTTCATCAGCAACTTCCCACCTGGAGCACACAGATCTTGTTGCTAAAACAAAGCCTGTATGGGGCTGGAGATGTGACTCAGTTGGTAGAGTGCTTGCCCAGCATGCATGAAGCCCTGAGTTTCATCCCCAGCACTGCATAAGCCTGGCACAGTGGAGTACACCTGTAATCTCAGCTTTAGGGAGGTAGAGGCAGGAAGATCAGATGTTCAAGGTCATCCTCATCTATCTGTAGGCAGTGCATGATACTGGTGCACTTACATACATGCAGGCAAGACAGCAATATACATTAAATAAATAAATAATAAATTAATTTTAAAAAATTAGAAAAAAGAAAGTAGAAAACCACAACTAGTATGGCTACTATCTGCTAACAGCAGCAGAGAATCTGGGGCAGCCTTACTCCCACTCTGGTCCAGGTCCTGTGCCCCTCTGCAGGAGAACTGATTTACACACAGGAACAGCTTCCAACCAAACAACCTGACAGAGTCACAGGAAGCTGGGCTGCTTCCCCCAGATCCTCCATAGAATTCAACAGTGGCATTTCTCCCTCCCACCTGCTGGATGTCCCAGGAAGACAGCCAGATTCTCCCAGCTGGCCTTTGCCTGTGCCCGCCCATCTCTGACTTGACTTCCTGGAGTCTTGACTTGGCTGGCTTTTCTGCATAGCCTAGCCCAGTGGATCGAGACACAGCGGGCTCCTGCCACAGCAGTGCTTGGCAGTGTGACACTGGAGGGCATTGTTAGTCAGGATCCAGGGCAGGACCCAGGGGCGGGGATGTTCCTGTCTCAGGATCCTGAACTGGCCAGAGGCTTTCCTCAGAGCTGTTGTCTGAGGACAAAGAACAAGCAGCAACTGATCACCCTGTAGTCACCTCCACACAGACCTGGGGACACCAGGCAGTGAAAGGTCTTCCCACCCATGATCTGTCCCTCTGGGATCACATCCCTCAGATTAGATGGCTTAGAGCCCTGTGGCTCCTAGAAGGGCCCAGGACACTTCCTCAAGGCCTCTGGCCTGACCTGATTCCTGGTTCTGCATCCCTGGGTTCTTACACCTGCCTTCCACCCACGGAAGCTGGAGACAGGCCCAGCCCCTTGGCAATCACTGCACCCCCACACCATAGCATGTGGTGTGCTTGGCTCCCAGAGCCCCTTTTCCTGGAATAGCCCAGGGGTTCAGGGAAGTGGTGAGGGGAGTTCTGTTCACTGTAGCACTTGCTCTAGTGCATACTTGGGCACCTCACATCTGTTCAGACCTGTTGGGTTGGTCTTGGGTGCTGGGCCTGGGAAGCTGCGTTTTATTGAGTTTCTGTGATTTTATGCAACTGAAGCTGTGACTGTAGGCACCCACTGGGGTTCTGGCCCCTGTAGGCAGGACACCCCAAGGAATCCTGATTTACCTGTATCCAGCTCTTATAATCTCCCACATGAGCCCTGGTGGACAGGACAGACCAGGGACTGAACTCCACAGGAGCAGGGCCTTGCTCAGGGTTGGAGACTCTGCCATTCCCCCACCAGACCCTAGTGGCCACTGGTCCATTGGCATGGTGGAGACCTTTGCCAGCCAGGAGAAGAACAGAAACTTTAGATACCTGTTCTAAGTTTCATGAGGGGCCTGACATACATGCACACCAGGGGTCACAAATCTTTATTCACCTCCTCTGTAAACCAATGGAGGCCAAGATAGCAATCAATTGCCCCAACTCCCCATGTGGCAACACTAGGGCTGCCACCCAACAGGCTGCTTCCAGCTGTCCCGGACACCTTCAAGCTGACACAACAGGCTACCCTGTCATAGGGCCCCTCCTTGGATCAGAAGTCCTGCCAGTGAGACCGAGTTGTGCCCCTACACAGACAAGCCCTTTTGTCACTTATCACGGTG